TTGTCAATTGCCAACAATAGACCTCTTGTTTGGACATTCCAGCCAAAGATTTCAAAAGAAGTGATCCTATTTGTATTTTAACCCATTTAATCCACTCAATGTCTTTGACTTTGCGATATAAATAAGCACCACACACAAAAAACCGGCTGTAACCTATCAATGTGAATGAAGTCGAATCTGACGATTTCCATGACAGACTAGACCAGGGGTGAAGGAAGGGACTGCGGTGAGAGCCGAGAAAGGTCCCATACAGTCGTTGTGATTTCGCCTTGTCAGGTAAGACCACTTCGCCTCCTCACTCTCATAGAGGCATATCGGGACACGCCTCCGGTCGTGCCTGGCCATAGAAGCCACGCGATATCGCAATTACGCATGAACGGATAGTCTTTGTGTTCTTAGTCAAATAAATAACCCGAAAATGTGGCCGACAAAATAGTAATAAAACTAAGACAAGGAGAGCACATGCAAGAGCACGAAAGTCGAATGGCAAAAAAGCTTGGCCTCCTTGCTCATCTCGGGTCTCCTGTCTCCTTTATTGACCCTGTTTTCTAGTTGAGTCAATGTCGCAAAGCCACCGTCTCGTTATAAATTCGCCTTTGATAGCATGGAAAGGCAGACGACGACGTCGTATGGTCAAACCTGCTGCTGTTTGAGTGTGGTGCTGAAGTATCCCGAGGTGGTAACATCGTATCATCTCGCACGGCATACGGACCGGTGCCGAGATCTTTGACCCATGGATGACGGCTGCCGATCCCAGGACATGAGGGTCCAATGTCACAGTTGTATTTTTTACTTCTGTGGCCTTGTTTTGTTCCAAAACCCCGCTCGCGACCTTTACTCCATCAAGGACCATGCTGTCACAGAAGTGCAGCGGCCTTGATACGTCAATGTTCGTGGCAAACATAACGCAGCGAGACACGCAACGTCTTTGATTTCGAGATTCGTAATCGTACAAAATCGTCGCCGCAACCATCGTCTCATGTTCTGCCCAACGGAAAGGACGCGCGGTCCGACAAATGCTCCGAGCCGGTTGTTGATCCCTTCTGCTGTTGTATTTTCTTCTCAACACGTCAATGTCTGGCCGTCTTCATTTATCTCACTTACAAAAATTGTCTTTTCCAGAAGGCTCATTTCACTCTATCCCGACGTTACCTGCGATTGCCCACACAGTGAACCTCTCTACCTCTTTATTTTCTCCACATTGTGTGCCCGTGGACCCATCTCAATCAATATCGAAAGCCGCCAGGGGCAGCCCGCCCGTTAATAAGAAGCCGCAAAAGGTCCTTGGCATTTTCTTAAAACAGTATTCGCATATTTCTTTCATTTTTTTCCCTTCAATTCTTTCCCTCCCTCCTTCTCCCCTTTGAAAGTGAGAATACGATTAATGACGCGCATGTCAGAAAAACTTGAGCCACGCTTTCCGGGGATATTCTGTGGTTGAACATCTCGCGACCCACCAAGTCGACGAATGCTTTCTTTCCATAGTTTACAGTTAGTACGATTGATTCACAAGATGGTCTTGATCGAAAGCAAATCGAAATGACACAGTCCACAATACACCGGAAAACAGCCACAGAGTTTTCTGCGTTGGCCTCCAAGTTTACCATAAAAACGGGCAACATTTCCAACCGTCCCTTCCAACCACCAGCCCCTGTATTTGCCTTCTAGAAAACCTGGAGCCGGCCGGATATGACATACAAGGCGACCCTGACCACGAAATGCATGGACCGCACGGCAAACAATGGATAAAAAAAGCCAGAAGGCGGGGGGGACAACCGCAATGCCGAGCCCGAGCACCGGCTCTCGTCCCATCTACCGCTCGTCTCTCGTCCAATTGTTTCCAGTGCTGTCGTTTTTCATCTTCTTTTGTCGTATTCATCTCCCCTCCTCCCCCTCCCTTTGGGCCGTCCACTCACCCGGATTGGGGTGCAGCATCTGCCACGTTTTCCCGCCCGTGATGGTGCCGTGGCTCTGCCGTGTTCTGCCCCGTGTCTGTTCTGCTTTTGGAAGACACTGGCGACGAGAAGAGTGAAGCGAGAAGCGACTAGGGAGACTGCTGAGCGAAATATGTAGGAAAGGCGGACTGCTCCGTCTTGAAGTACGCACAAGACATGCAGACAGTATATAACGTGCGGCCAGGATCTCCTCCCCCCCGGCCAATTGCGCTCTTTTGTTTTATTTTCTCCTCCGCCACGGCGTCTTTCCAACGTACGCAGCCACCCACCATCTCGAACTCGCTTTTAATTTGCCCTCTGCGCGTCTCCCCGCTGTGCCATGCTTCCCTCTCTATACATAACTCGTGAGCAGGGAGAGGGATGCCCATGTCTCCAGGTCGTGGTTCGCTTGCTTTGCCACGAGTCTCCTTTCTTTGATGCAACCATACAGTTAATCCTGTCACTTGTCGCATTTCTCTAATGTGACAAGTATTATTATTTTCTTATTTTTCTTTTCATTTTGTTCTTCTTATAAATCTTTGATCATTGTCATGCCTCCTCGTTATATATCGTGCAGAGAGGAGCCACATGGCGCTGTGCCTTTTTATTCGTGGGCTCCCTTCTTATAAGTGCAGAATCTGGCATCGGCTCGTAATCCCGTCAAAGACGCACGTGTTGTCGATTGGCACGTACTGCTTCGTAATAATCTTAATCATCTCCTGCGCCACCATGCCTCCCGTCAGAGCCGAGACGTTGTGCAGCTCACTGCCGCCCGTCCGGGCCAGCTCCTCGGCAATCTTGGCCACTCGTTCGTTCTGGCTGGCCCCCGGGACAAGTCCGTCAATACCCTTGAGGATGGTCTCCGCGGAGGACGAGGGCGCGTGCGCCGTCGCCTGCAGGGCCAAGTAGATCGGTACCAACGACAGCGGCGCCATTGTGATCTCGACGTTTTCGTCGTTGGCCATTTCGTCTTCTGCACCGTGTTAGCCGTATGGCAAGAGAATGACAACGCGTGAATCAGTGCAATAGGGCCTGTATACTCCGTACCAAACAGTTTGACCAGACGGTTCTCGCCGGGAGGGGTCGCATTGATCAGCTTGACAAACGCAGCGTTCTTGCAGAAGAGATCAACCTCACCCGGATCAATGTCCTTGCCGCCGGGAGCGGCCTGTACCGTCGCCAGCACTTCGGCTGCGTCTTTGCGGGCCTTGGTCTTGTAAATTGTCTGCAGCTTCACATACACTTGGGACGCCGCCTTCATATCGGGGACCTTGCCGGACAGCGGCAGCGCCTGGTGCTTCTCATAAAACTGCTTGACGGCGTTGGCGATAATCCAGAACCCGGACTTCAGCTCCTACTGTGTGTCAGTACTCAGCCAATACCGGACAAGCTTCTAATCAAGACGGACAGGGCGCATACAAATCCTTTTGGCTCGTAGTCAAACACTTCCCGGAGACCGGACGGTACCGATGGCCGGTCAATGTTCCGCAGCACGGCGGCCACAGCCTCGTCAAAGTTTTCCTCGCCACCTTCCGGGTTGTCTTTCCGCGCCGCATCTGCGACGGTCTGCCGGAAAGCCGTCTTCTCTTTGTATGTCGATGGGTTCGCGCCATCATGGGCCTCGCGCCAGCGCTCAAGATAATATAACAGAATGGCAATGTACGGAAGATGGCCATGCTCATGAGCTCCCAGGTCGTCGATGTGACCCGTCAGCTCACGAGCAAACTCGGTCAGCTCCGGCCACGGCGCCAGGAGCCGGAGATCTGTGGCTGCTGTCTCGTCCGGGTGTGTGTCGACAATAGGAAAGGCGCCGGGCAACCGGATACGGAAGTATGAGTAAAAGCCCGCCGAGTGGACTGACACGAGGGGTGTCTTGTGTTTCTCGCCATACGTATCGAGGAGGTCAAGGGTGTCTTGCTGGGCAGGGTGGGCGTAGAGGATCATGGTGAAAGTCGGGGACGTCTCGAGCAGTTCTGACAGGTCGAGGCTTGCCTGAGACAGTCAGTCTGCATCCAAACAGCCGGTACAATTCCTACACATGTCCCGAACCTCCTCCGACATACCTGTGGTTTTGGGTGCCATTCACCCTGGACTTCCGGGTTGAGCTCCTGCAGCAGTTCCGTGCAGCTCTGGGCCCGCGACTTGCCTAGGCTGGCCTCGTCAAGGAAGAAGTTGACGCCCAGATCGGCCTCCTCAACCACCGACTCGTCGTAGATTGTAAACCGGCCGATTCCTGTCTTGTCAGTTTCCACATCCGCCGACCATGTCGCAATGTCGTGCGTACTCCACTCCGCGCACACGCGACCTACCGGGCAGAATGAGGTTCTTCAACGCCTCGACGACCACGGTGCCCCCGCCCGCGTTCAGCACGAGAATGTTGGCCGACTCCAGTGCCGCCTGGCCACTGGCTGCCCACAACCGAAGCTGCCGGTCATATTTCCGCTCTTTTTCGGACGGACCGTGTAGGATGGGAGGCGTCTGGCTTGCCACGATTTCGGTCATTTCGGTGCCGGCGGGGAACAACCGCAGGTTCCTGAGGCACGCGCCGTAGATGGGGTGACGGATCTGGTGGTTGGCGAGATTGTGTATCGATGGCCGTGGATTGTGTGAGCAGATGCAGTTGAATTAGATCGTCGCGTGCTCGCTCTTGCCGTCTGTCAGTTGCTTCAGTTGTCTGAATGGCTAGATTCGTAATACGGCAGGAGCATCACAGCCTGGAGGGGTATACCATTGGTGGGTGCGACAGGTAGGAGCTCTGCGCCTTTCGGAGGTTCCACTGCGCCGCTGATTGGTCAAGGTGGATCCAGGCAGGAAAGCACCAATGACTCCATACAGCGGCCAAAGGCGGTCGCCATGCTCCTTATCGATAAGCGCCTTCCTGCCGTCTGCGATAAGATAGTCTAGAATTTTTTGAGATCGCCCAGTGGACTGAAGCCGCCCGATGCGGTAGGCACAAATTTTCTGCCAGGGCGCTCTTACTCTCGATTTTTCTGCTGCCATCTGACGCCTCTTCCTACACCGAAACCGGCATCACGACCCACGATCCTCGTCAAGTGATGCGGCAAGATGGAAGACCAAGCCCATAAGCCCCATCGCAAGTCGAAGGAAAAGAAGAAGCACTCCGGTGGGTAGTTCTTCCGTTCACTTCACGAGCAGGCGCGACAGACATACTGATTCTTCTCCAGGTCCCAATCCCAAGGCCTTTGCTTTTTCGAATCCAGGCAAGCTTCAAAGAAGTGCCGCCCGGTCCCACGATGTGAGTGCCGCCGAGATGTTCAGAGTACATTGGCATGTTTGGTTTTTCTGGGTGTGCTGCGTGCTAACGCTTTCCTCCTCTTCAGATCAAAGAAAAGCGCCTCCACGTCCCCCTCGTCGACCGTCTTCCCGATGAACCACCACCGCGCCTCGTCACCATTGTCGGCCCGTCCGGCGTGGGCAAGACGACTCTCATGCGCTCCTTGATCCGCCGCTATGCGAAAGAAACCATCACCGACCCGCAAGGCCCCGTGACCGTCGTCACATCCAAGAAGCAGCGCCTGACCTTCCTTGAGTGCCCCAACGAGCTTGAGGCCATGGTCGACGTGGCCAAGGTCGCCGACATTGTCCTGCTGATGATCGACGGCAACTACGGCTTCGAGATGGAGACACTGGAGTTCCTCAATGTGCTGGCCGCCACCGGTATGCCCGGCAACGTCTTTGGCGTTCTCACCCATCTCGACCTGTTCCGCAAGCCGCAGGCTCTCAAGGACGCCAAGAAGCGCTTGAAACACCGCTTGTGGAACGAGCTGTACCAGGGCGCGCATCTCTTTTACCTGTCGGGTGTCATCAACGGCCGCTACCCGGACCGCGAAGTCCACAACCTGTCGCGCTTCCTGTCTGTCATGAAGAACCCGCGGCCGCTCATCTGGCGCAATTCCCACCCCTACGCCGTCATCGACAGCTTCCGCGACGTCACCCACCCCACCAAGATCGAGGAGGACGAGCTGTGCGACCGCTCCATCGCCCTTACCGGCTATTTGCGCGGCACCAACTTTGCCGCCCAGGGCCAGCGGGTACACATTCCCGGTCTGGGGGACTTTACCGTGGCCAAGATGGAGGCCCTGCCCGACCCGTGCCCAACGCCGGCCATGGAGCAGGCCGCGGCCAAAGCGACCGGCAAGACGGGCCGGCGGCGTCTCGACGAGAAGGACCGTAAGCTGTACGCGCCCATGTCGGACCGCAGCGGCCTCAAGATTGATGGCGATGCTGTGTACATCTACCGCGAGAACGGGTTCACGTTCGACAAGGACGCTGTCGGCGTGGAGCGGAACGAGGGCGAGGAGATGATTATCGGTCTGCAGGGCGAGCGCAAGCTGCTGGGTGAGACGGAGGAGGGTGTGCAGCTGTTCTCCAAGGGTCGTCGGATTGTCGCCGAGGAACTCAACTCGGGCCGGAAACAGCAGCGAAATGCGCGTGTGCCTGGCGCGGTCGAGGGCGAGGGCGAAGACGAAGAGTACGGCGATGACGGCTCGTCTGACGGGGAGGGTGCTTTTGCCAACGGCAAATACGGCGAGGAGGACGAAGACGAAGACGACGACGAATTCGATGAGAGCGAGTTCGACGAGACGAAGCTCGGCAAGATGTTCCGTAACAAAGGCGACCGCAATGGCGACAACGACGAAAACGGCGAGACGCTCGAGTTTGCGGACAGTGACTCGGACCTGGGCTCACTGGACGGCGACGAGGGCAACGGCTTTGACGACGACGAAGACGCAGCAATACGGTGGAAGGACAATATGCTGGAGCGAGCACGGAATCTGCACAAGCGGAAACGGCCGTTCCAGGTAAAGGACCTGGCACGGATGCTGTACGACACCTCCATCTCGCTCAGTACGGTCGCCAAGCGCTGGCGGGGCGAAGAGGAGGACGAGGAGGAAGCCGAGGACAATATTGAGGAGGAGGACGATTTCTTCAAGAAGACGGAGGATGCCAACAAGGCCGAAGACGAAGCCGAAGACCGCTCACTCCCCGCGGCCGACAATGACGAGCTCAAGTCCCGTTGGACGCCGGATGCCATTGACGCACTGCGGTCGCGATTCACGTCCGTCAAGTCCAAGAAGAGCGGTGGGGGCGACGATGACGAGAGTGGGTTTGACGACGAAGAGGGCGACGAGGATGAGGACGAGGATGAGAGCGCATTCGGCAGCGACGCTGAGGGCGGCTCGGACAGCGAGGGCGACGGCGACTTTGAGGATCTCGAGACGGGCGAGAAACACGGCCCCCGGAAAGACAAGGACGGCACGGCAGAGGCACCGGAGGACTTTGAGGAGGAGCGCGACAAGAACGCACGGCGCAAGCAAGAACTGCGGCTGCGGTTCGAGGAGGAAGACCGTGAAGGATTGAACAATGCCAAGGCGCAGGCACGGAAAGAGGCCGGCACAACGGCAGACGAGTTTGGCGAAGACGACTGGTACGATGCGCAAAAGTCGCTTATCCAGAAGCAGCTCGACATCAACAAGGCCGAGTACGACGAGCTGGACGAGCGGCAGCGCGTGGCCGTCGAAGGCTTCCGTGCGGGCCAGTACGGCCGCATGGTGCTCGAGGGCGTGCCGGCCGAGTTTGTGCGCATGTTCCAGGCGCGCATGCCACTGATCATGGGCGGCCTGACCGCGACAGAAGACCGCTTCGGCTTCCTGCAGGTGCGCATCAAGCGCCACCGCTGGCACAAGCGCATCCTCAAGACCAACGACCCGCTCATCTTCTCGCTGGGCTGGCGGCGGTTCCAGACGATGCCCATCTACAGCATCTCGGACTCGCGCACGCGCAACCGCATGCTCAAGTACACACCCGAGCACATGCACTGCTTCGCGCAGTTCTACGGCCCGTTTGTGGCGCCCAACACGGGCTTTGTGTGCTTCAAGAACTTCTCGGCGGCGGCGCCCATCAACCAGCAGGGGCTGCGCATCGCCGCGACGGGCAGCGTGCTGAGCGTGGACGAGTCGACGGAGATTGTCAAGAAGCTCAAGCTGACGGGCGTGCCGTACAAGATCTTCAAGAACACGGCCTTCATCAAGGACATGTTCAACTCGGCGCTCGAGATTGCCAAGTTTGAGGGCGCGGCCATCAAGACGGTGTCGGGCATCCGCGGCCAGATCAAGCACGCGCTCAAGCAGGAGGGCGCGTTCCGCGCGACGTTTGAAGACAAGATTCTGCTCAGCGACATTGTCTTCTTGCGCGCGTGGTTCCCAATCAAGCCGCACCGCTTCTACAACCCGGCCAACAACTTTATCGGGTGGCAACCGATGCGCCTGACGGGCGAGATCCGGCGCGACGCGGACATTGCCACGCCGCAGCAGCGCAACAGCCAGTACCGCGAGGTCGTGCGCCAGGAGCGGCACTTCAACACGCTCAAGGTGCCGCGCCAGCTGGCGGCGTCGCTGCCCTTCAAGTCGCAGATTGTGCAGACCAAGAAGCAGAAGAAGACGACGTACATGCAAAAGCGCGCGGTGGTGGTCGGCGGCGAGGAACGCAAGGTGCGCAACCTGCTGCAGAACCTCACGACGATCCGGCGCGATGTCACGCAGAAGCGGGCGGCCAAGAAAGAGGAGAAGCGCGCCGAGCATCGCCAGAAGGTGGCGGATGCAGAGGCGAAGCGCGCGGAGCGTGAGAAGCGCGAAACGAAAGAGTTCTGGAGCCGCGAGGGCAAGAAGCGGCACATGCAGACGGAGGGCGGCGGTGGCGGCAAGCGTCGGCGTGGTTAACGGGTAAAGAGGATGTGGCTCAGCCATGTCAACAGCATATTCCCAGTTGAAATAGTCGGCAGCGTGAAATTCCTGTATAGTATTTATTCACATTTTGTTTTCTTGCCTTTACATTTACATTTGTTCATAGTCATTTCGGCCCTTGCGGGAGTTTACTCATATTATCAAAAAATAGAAGGCATATTCACCACATTATATCGTACAACTTGGCCATGTAAGAGAAAAACCGCCCCAACTCCTGTCATGGAGCCGCCATGCGCATCTTCATGACTGTCAACTCTGAACTCCGTGCCCACGAGCCGTCTGGTGTCTGTCGATAGCACAGAAGCTTGCCGTCGTCGCCCACGCTGCCCAGGATCTGGCCATCGTCGTCAAAGGACACACGCCACACGGGTGTCCGGTGGTTTTCCAGCTTGGATAGTTCGCGCACCGTGTGCCGCACCTGTCCAGCCTCGCCCGTCCAGTGGCGGTCGCCAGCTGCTATGCCGCCGCCGTGTGTCGAGGCGTCTGGGATGGGCGGCAGTCCCGAGAACGACGTCGCCGTTGAACTGATTGCGCTGCTGTTCCCGTGCGGGTCGAGCAGCGTGCCACCCGTCTCGTCCGAGGCGCCTGCGTCGGGGACCAGGTCGCGTGTCGTGGAGGACAGCGACGAAGCCACAGAGGCGGGCGTCGACAACGAGCTGGGCCCGGCGGGTGTTGTGGAGCCGGACGCCGCCGCCGCTGCCGTGATCAGGCCGCCCGACGACGACCCGGGCTTGCCGTCGCGCTTCCGCCGTGCGTTGACAATGTTGGAGCCACCGCCGGCCCCGTCGCCGGTCTTCACTACGATATCGTGCGCCGCCCACGTCTTGCCGTCCTCGTTGGCTGAGAAGGGCGTGTCGAGGCGCACAACACGCACATAGCCGTCTTGGCACGCCGTCGCAATAATGTCGTATCCCCGGAAGTTGCCTGGGGCCCACGCAATGTCGCGCACCAGCCCGCGGTGGCCCTTGACCTCGGCGGCAAGGTAAAATGCGCGGCCCATACCCTGCAAGCCGTAGGACGTCGTCGTGATGGGCCGTGTTCGGTAGATCTTGACCGCGTCCATGGCCGCCACCACAAGGCTCAGCGAGTCGGCGCGCACGCCCGCCCGCAGCGCCGTAAAGCACGGCTCCGGATTCGGGTCGAACTGCACCCGGAAGCTCGCCTCCTCGCCGCGGGCTGGCTTCGGACAGACGCGCAGCTCGTCGACGTTGGCGTAGTTGGAGAGGTTCTCGGGCACCTCGTTCTCCAGGACGGTCAGCGTGCCATCGGCCGCGAGCAGAGCCAAGTACGTGTGCCGCGTCTCGTCGTTGTGCTTCATGGAAAACGACCGGTACGGCGACCGAGGCGACCGTGTCTCAAAAGCGGCCTTTGCATTACCTTTGGCACGCTGGCTGAAGCGCCGGCCGGGCGCCGCTGCTGGGTCCTCGGTCCACAGCTTGAAGCGGCCCTCGATGCCCATAGACGCCAGCAGGTTGGGATAGATGGTTGGCGGCAGCCATTGGAGCTGATTTTTTTTTAAAAAAAATGTTGTTAGACTATGCTTCTGGAACCCGATGCAAAAACCCCGTTTCCGATCACGAAACTTACGTCCAGAATCTCGCCGCCGTGGGCGCCCCAGTTGTCGCACAGCCGCCACATGCCGTCGCGGTGGCGGTTGAACACGCGGATCTTGCCGTCAACGGAGCCCGTCGCGCAGCGGTCGCCATAGGCATTGAATGCGACCGCCTGGACGAGGTCCTGGTGGCCGTGTTTCATGATAATCTCGAACCGCGCCTGGTCGTCGAGCACCGGCGGCTCGCCCTGCGGCGCGGGCATGATGTCGGTTTCCGGGCGGCAGACAGAGCAGCCAATACAAAAGCAAAAACAGCGAAAAGAATAGAGGGACAACGTACGTAGGCGCGGTCGCGGCTGTGCTGGGTGAGGGAGGTGACGTCGTCTGGCGGTGATGCGATTTGGTGTGAATGCGTGAGATGCGGTCATCCGATCAACCAAGCTGCAAGCTACTTCCTGCTGTGCATCACGGGGCATTAGCGGTTGCAGCTTCGGCAGGCGTTAGTGGGGCACTGCGCTTATGTCGCGCCGCTATGCTGCTGCAGCTGTGACTGGTGTGGGCGTGCGACAGCAGTGTGGTAGCGCCTGCAAAACAGTGCAGCCATGCGCCGCATTTCTCCAACGCCTGCTCTTTCCTCTCATAGGTCTATTTAGCCTTGCTGCATTTGCTCCTTCCGGCAATCTGAAGGCCGCTCCTTCCCTTTTCAATGGGAGAATGGCTATCGCAGCATGGGCCTTCTGTTTGTGGCAACTCTTGATTCTCGTTGGCAGTTGCCCCTTTTGTCCGTATCTCCTTCTTTTGTCACAAAGCACTGACGCCGTTGCATCTTCCGTTGAATGTGCCGCATGTTGTCCAATTTGCATCGTCAGTATCACGCAATGTCGCGAATGTCGGTCTACTACTGAAAGGTTGGGCCACCAGATGGGAGATCGAGGTCAGGCTAACCTCGCAAACTGTGGCCAAAACACCACCAAAACAAGGCCCGCTTAGACAAAATCGCGACAGCCCAAACGTACAGCCTCGTCCGAAAGAAGAAGTCGCGCCTCACGCCGAACTGCTCTTTCCCACCCCCTTTCCCTTGTGTCACGCTCCTTCTCTCCTTAGGCTGTGAAGTCCTGGCTATCCCGTGCCCGTCGCTTCCTTCTTTGAACTTGCATTTGGGCGTCGTTTGCCTCAAGACGCAACTTCCCCTCCATTGCATGTCCTCTCACCTTACCCGCGCCTTCTCCACCACTTGCCAGGGGTCCTTCCACCTCCACTTACTCCTTTCCCTGGACACTGTTCCATATTGATTGTTTCTTTTCATTCCCCTTTTCGTCGATTGTCGACGCCCCTCCTTTCCATCGTCTCTTCCCGTTCCCTCTATATCCTACGGCCTCGTTCTTTGTCTCGCGTCCACGACAGCTTCCACGCATCCCCCCCGGTCGTCGACAATGTCCTCGCTCGAGGCCAAGATCGTCGTCGTGGGCTCCCAAGGCGTCGGCAAGACGTCGCTTGTGACGCGTTTTTGCAAAGGACAGTTCGACCCATCACAGGTCACGTCGACTGTCGGCGCCAGTTTTCTCACAAAGCGCGTCGTCGACTCGGACTCGGATACGGTTGTCCGTCTGCAAATATGGGACACAGGTCGGTGCTGCATGTTGGGATTTTTTTTTATTTTTTATGTTTACATTATGTTTGACGCGTTTTTCCCGTTTTTGTTCTGACATATGAAATATGAAAACTTACATGCTCTTCCTAGCCGGCCAGGAACGCTTTCGCTCCATCTCCCGTCTCTACTACCGCGGCGCCAACGCCTGCATCCTCTGCTATAGCATCACCGACGCCAACTCCTTTGCCGAAATGGGCATCTGGCTGACGGAGTTACGCCGTAACCTTCCCTCCGACATTGTTCTCCACGTTGTCGGCACAAAGGCCGACATTGTCGCCAGCGATCCGTCCAAACGTGAGGTGCCTTTTGAACGCTGCATCGCCTATGTTGCCGAGAACCTTGCCCCCGGGATGAGCAGCACACCACCACCCACCGCCGGCGGGCTTGTCAGCAGCATGCTGACAGGCAATACAGGCGGCTTCTCCGGGCCGGCACCTGGAGCGGGTGGGTTTGCTGGTGCTGCATCTGGTGCCGGTGCCTCGTCGAGCGGTCCAACACCAAATCCAACCCCCTTTTCCCCGCCCGAACCTCGCAGTCCGAGCTCGAAACGCAGCTCGGGCTTCTGGGGCCAGGAAGCTGGCTGGGACGCGTGCCACGAAATATCCGCGGAGAGTGGTGAGGGCGTCGAGGAGGTGTTTCGCGTCGTCACGCGCAAGCTCGTCGAGCAGAACCGCAAGATGCAGCAAGCCTTGTTAGCCGCAGCGTCAACCCCCGGTGGCCCTCCGTCCATGGCTGGTGACGGCAGCTACGGATCTGCCAGCGGCGGCGAGAGCAGTCACGGCTATGGCTATGGTGGGGGCTACTTTGATGGCAACAACCCGCGCGGAAGCTTCCGAGTGGGACGCGACCGCCGCAGCTGGTTGTTTGCCCCGGGCTTCTCGCCAGAGGTGTCCATCGACCCGAATGGCACCAACGCCCCCGGTGAGCCGCCACGAAACGACAGCGCACTGCAACGGCGCAAATGCTGTTGATTCTCCCGATGTGTCGTCTGGATATTTTTTTGTTCACCTTCCTCGTTACAGTCCGGGCCCAGTGGCTCCTTGTGTGTAATATTTTGGCTACCAGCTGCGTGACCTGTTTGCATCTTCATCGTCCTGGGAAGTCTCGCGGCCTTTGTATGGTATGTTATCTCCTTTCGGGCTTGATTTATTGTTCATTGCATTTCCCTCGGTTGTCTGCGTTGCGTGTTTCATAATTCTGCATTTCTCGCATTTTCCTCTTGTCATATTTTTGGATCACGAACATCATGGGTGTATGGATAATGGTTTGCATACGGAGCTGTATTGGGTCTCCTACGAGTGTACAGTTAATGGGCGATATTTGGTTTGTTTTCTCTCCCATTTTTATCAATTTATTTTCTTTTCCCAAGGACGTTTTGCTATCCATTTGTTTTCCGCATGTCTTATTCCATCTGCCAATCTCAAGGGATGCATGCCGATCCTTATGCGGCACGCGTGGCACAACATCACGCGCAACCCTCACACGGCCACACAAGATTGCATCTGAACCTGAAAGCCGCCACGTTGTATCCGACAGCCGAAGTATTTTTCCGACTTTGAAAACTACAGAATTCGACAGTACAGCCAAGTGGCGCCTTGTTACAAATCGATACAGACTTTTTGCTTTTTTCGGCTCGCTTCTAGCTGCGGATTGTCATACAATGCAGATATTTAAAACACCAGAGCGCACCATGCAATGGTCGGAATAACAGAAAACCACTTTGAGGAAAGATTGTATCCGTTCCGTCTTGTTGATTCTCTAACTAGGTCTTCG